CCCCTCCTCCCGTCCCCCGTCTCAAACCTATCTCTTCTTGACTTTCATCAATCAAACGCTTTCTATTTGTACCGATCGAATCATTGTAGGTCACACAAGCATCAACCAAAAGAATTCCAAACAACCAATGCTCACTGATCATTGTACAAGTTTCACACCCCTGACAACACTGACAGGTTGTTTAAGAGGCAGGACCTAAAATTTAACGTCCATCTCCGATAAGGTTGAGCCAAACAGACGGAGAGCCTCTAAAACTCCCTAAAAAACAACGCCTTCAGAATGCAAACCCGGGCTATCCGTTCCGTAGACTCGGAAGATACCCACTTTCTAGCCTTGCGCTCCCTCATAGTTCTCCCCCTCGCCGTTCTTCAGATCTTTAACATGGGCATAAGCCCCCGTCGCTCCCCTTCCCTCCTCCCTCCCCCCAAATAGAAAAAAAAAGACCCACAGAAAAAAGCAGCACAAGTTTACAGCATCCTTTATGGTTATTAGAGGAACTTGTTTGTTTGAACGAGCGAGTAACGAGAGGCGCATCGTCGCGAATTGGTCATTCCAGGCTGGAAAAGAGCACAACTGTCTCTTTGTTTCCCCCTTCTCTCCCTACATTTACGTATGCATATATTATATTATGTATACCCGTGTGTATATTGGAACGAATGGTGTATTCGCGCCTATTGCATGCTTGTGTAAGTGTCCGGGAGCATGATATTATCCCTCCCTGTATGTCTTTACTCCTCTCCTTCGCTAGCGAATAGACTGATTATACAATATACCTGTCTCCACAGCATGTCTGTCCTATCTATCTATGGACCAACAATCCACAGGCACGCCAGAAAATAACCATAACGTTGTCGCCAAGATTAGGTTAGGAGACATTCTCTATCGCTCCCAAAAGAGTTCTCTGTTCCAAAATCACGTCGTTTCGCTGTCAATTTCGAAGTGTCTTTCGGAACAATTCCGAAAGCTATCAAGCCTTATCACGACTAGGATGTAGATTTGAGGGCGTCGAAGAGCGTTTTGGGATATCCATCGCCCGTTTTAAAACAGGAGGAGAAAATTTGTGTTCAGACAGGGAATGGAGAGAATAGGAAATGTGTTAGAATGTGTCTTCCACTGGCAACTTAATGACGCACACATGCAAACAAACATTCTCTCTCACACTCACACACACACACACACACACACACACACACACACACACACACACACACACACAC